TTACACATAAATATCAATTAGCTGAATGACTATTTTGCTATTAAACTGAGAAAATTTCAAAGTGGTAATAATTCACCATACAAATTCCTATGTACAATCTCTTAAAGGACTTTTTCATGCATCAAAAATCATGAAGACATTGATATTTTTAAAATCCATAAATATCACTCCAAAGAGTTTCTCTTTAGAAAATCCTATGAAAACAAAAATATAACCAAAGGGATGCTTAACACATGATTATATATCAGTAAAAAAAACCCAACCACTTACCACTAATGTTGGCCAAATTATAAAAATATAAAGAAAAAATTATTTGGGATATACAGTGGGTATGACTGAATTTATTCAATCTTTTTTAAAAAAATTATACTCCAACGAAGTTCTATAATTTTCTTCATATAGAGCCTGATATCTCTAATTAATTCCTGGATATTTTAGGATTTTTTGTTGTTATAGGGACTGGGATCTTTTTACCAAGATACTAGCTTTGCTAATACATAAGGAGAAAGCTATTGATTTGAGGATATAGCTGGTCAAACTGATACTCACTGCTTCTGCTTTTCAGTTGACTCTTTGGCTTAATGTGCAATCATAACGACTAAATTCTGCTTTTAAAGGAGTATGCCTCATAACTTTTTCTTGCCTGATATGTTGGCTAAACTTTCCCAAATATTAAGTTTGGGACTTCTACCAGTCTCTTTAATCAAATAACTTAAAACATATGTTTCTTAGGTAAAACTGTAAGTATCAACAATGATAGCTGTCTGCAATATATTTTTGCCAAGAGAAAAAAAGGTTATAAACATGATCATATGCATGTTTAAAGATCATTTACTATAAGTAAAAAAAGCAAGGTCCAGAAAAGTGTTCAATATGCTTTTTGTGTACGAAAGGAGGGAAATAATACATGTATTTTTGCATTAAGAAACCCTGTAAGGAAACACCAGAAACTAATAAAAGTGATTACCTGAGGTAGGGGGGAATGGGGGCAGGGGTGGGAGCACTTCTTTTCACTGTATACCTTTTTATAGTGTTTTGATTTATGGACCATGTATTGCCTATTCAAAAAAATAAAATTAAAAAAACATATAGTATATATTTTTAAAGTCCAGAAAAACAGACACCAAGCTATTAAGTATTTCTCTTTATGGACTAGCATTCAACGATTTCATTCACTGAAAAAATATTTATTGAGCACCTATGTTCCAGGTACTGTTCTAGCACTTGGGGCCCACCAATAAACAAAAGGAGCTTATAGTCTTTTATAGTATTCTTCTATTGTTTAAATATCTAATAGTGAGCACTCATTACTCCAGCTCCTCCTAGCTGTCTAATCTTGGGCAAGTTCCTTGACCTCTCCAGGTACCAATCTTATCTGATAAGATGTGCATAATGCCACCTACCATGTACGGGTATTATGAAAATGATGATACAATACTTATAAATCTTTTAGCTCGGTACCTGATACAAAATGAGTACTTAATGTCTGCCATTATGATTTAGCCATATTTTTAGAACAGTCATACATGTATATAACGATGGTAAAATGTCTGATGAGGGGTAAAGAATGTATAGGAAACAGAAAGGGTGAAGCCACTGGGCTCATCCTCGGTCTGTGCTCTTTATCACCACCAGCAGTAGACCATAGCACTTGTCTGATGATACTGTCACTATCTTATTTACTTTTTCTTCCTTCCACTAGATTATGAGCTAAGTGGAGAAAACATGCCTTATTTATTCTACTGTCCCTGGAACCTAACACAGTACCAGGCAATACATGCTCATTAAATATTTGTTAAATACACAGGTCGATGTGGTCATGGAAAGTTTCACAAAAGAGATGAGACAGGCTGAAAATGATTACCATCATGATCCCAACTCAAAAGTGAAGGAACTGTCCCATTTTCTTAACTTTTAGTTACCTGGCCTTGGATTATTTCTTTGTCCAAATCTAGAAGGAGTTATGAGAAATCTGTTGTTTTCTGAGAAAATAAGCCTTTGAAGCCAGCCTTTACATAACCACCAGCAGGGGGATCTATCTACAAGGCTGAAGACAGCCCTAGAGCTACTAAAAAGGCTATCAACCCATACAATCCCATCAATGAGAGGTACTCAATAACAGTATTTTAGGACAGGTGAGGAATGTGATGAGTCTTCAGGAATGGATCCCTTCACAACCACCCTCCTAGGGAGATTCTGATATAGTTATCACTGTAGTCTCCCAACCCCAAACATCCCCTGAATTAAATGCTTTACTTCTCCAAAAACATGGATGGAGAATGGTGAAGATGGGAAGTGACATGACATTAATGTCTGTAGCAACGGGGCTTTAACCAATCTTAAAGCTAACCTTCTCAGACCACCACAATGGCTTCCATTACCAACCCACTGTTCTCAGAAACCTACTAACCATTAACAAGTACCAAAAGGCACTAGAGTCTTCTATTATTAATTACATGAAAGAAAAGTAGAAAAAAAAACAAGTAGACTTTCATACTCTTCTTAAATTTTCTTTAAGGCCATATGATATATCTGACCCACCTCCAAGATTCTGCAACAAAACAGATGCCAAGCCACTAATTTCCCTCCAGGATGATGGAACATCTTTCTAAGATTATAGTGGCTCTTTATCAGCATTTCTCTGCAAATTAATGAATTCCTACAGAATTCTGAGTTCATGAACATGGTTTAAGTAACAGAGCTAAAGTTTTAACATATCTCTGTTCTCGAATATCACACTAAACAATTAAATGGGTGTGTGCGCACACACACACACCCCCCCATTTAATTTCCCTAACTTATGACACTTTCTCCTTTTTATAATAAGATTAGGTTATCTGTGATCAGCATAGACTTTAAAGTAGCCTTGTTTTATTTACTCAAAATATAACAAGATTGAAAAAATATTAATATATGCAGGTTTAAATCATTCTTAAAATTATCATTCATAAAAATAAGTTAGGCCGAAATGATAAAAAAAATAGAATACTAGTATTTTTAAAAGACATCATACATGATTCCAAATTACCAAACATTGTAGGTATTTATACCCATTTAAACTAGCTCTGTGAGATTCTCTTCCAAAATAACCAGTTTTAACCAATTAAAACGTGTTCTTTCTTTAGAAAATGTTTTATGTTCCCCTATTATATTTTTCAGACTACTTTAGTTCATAAATAGCAGTTCGAATCCAAAGAGCCAACAGCCTACTTAAATCCAGTTTTAAATGCTGGGGGCCCGCCCAAATCTACATTTCCAAAGCATTAAGTTTTTTTCTTGTAAATGTTACCAATATCCACATAATCTTAAATCAAGAAAAAACATGAGACAGGATTAAAAAAAAGAGAGAAACAGATTACGTACCATTACTCTGCAGTGTTAATCCTGAGAGATCTTAATTTTTTAAGAGGGAAAAGAAAATGAAACGTTAATCATTACCATGAAAACATTTTCTATTATATTTAAAATTATAGAATGTAAATATACACAAGGTTCAAAACTTTATGAACCATTTCAAGAATACTTTCCTTATTTTTCAAAAACAATTATTTGCCCAATAAATGGACATAATACCAACTATATAATACTTAGTTTTAGCAGTCAAATGCTAAGTGTTCAAATGTTCCAAAGTTCAAATTTAAATATTTATATTTGATTAGAAATGTATGATTCTTTAACCTTAGTTGAAGTCATTTTATAATTTATAATTTATAAATTTATAATTTAACTTAGAAAAATTAACACATAATTGAGATCTTTTCCTTTTGTGCTTCTAAAGATAAATGCAAAGTCTACGTACCAATTCCAGGTGATACAACTCGTTCATAGTGATATGGATTCACACAGACACTGTCACATTTTAAGTCAAACGCATACTGACAATATTTAACATGTTTTAGTTCATTTTTGTGAAGATCAGGCCACCTCCAGAGACGGGCATAGATCACATGAGGAAATCCTTTCCGACCGGCAACCTAGGAAAAATAAATGACCATTGACTGAGCATCAGTTATACATCATACATTATGCAAGGTACTTTTTATACATGTTCTCATTTAACCCTTACAATCCTATGAAGTCAGTATTATAATCTCCATTTCATAAATGAGAAAAACTAAAGCTCAAAATAACATACTTGACCATGGTCACAAAGCAGTGAGCTTAGTATGATTTCGAGGCCCATGCTCAGATTTTAAAAATGCAAAAAAAAAAAAAAAAAAGCCTGAGGTTTGTTGTAGAAACTAAGCCTAATATCTAGATATAAAATTTTTATTTGTTTTTATTATTATTATGTATGCCTATAGCACCTGGTCTTCCTAGGTGGTCTCCCATCCAAGTACTAACCACGCCTGACCCTGCTTAGCTTCTGAGATCAGACATCAGGCTTGTTCAGGGTGGCATGGGCGTAGACCATGGACTGTGGCTCCACTGGGAAGCAAACCCAGAACCTTCTGCGTGGAAAGCAGACATGCTAATCACTACACTATAGAACCACGTCCCTAGATATAAAATTTTTAAATCTAACAACATAAGATTTCCATACGTTTCTTTAAAAATATTAAGCACAACAGATATATTATACAGTTCTACATGAGAAATGTGACCAGTCAAAATAAAAAGTAAAGAAAATTTATAAACTATAAGCTTTTAACTCAAGTTTTAAAGATATGCTTTAATTTTTCTAGATTGATTTTCATATAACAATACCAAACATATAATATCATATTTCTTAGTTATAAAAGGACCAAGGAGAACTCAGTTTTTTAAAGGTGCATATGACACCAAAAAGTGGGGGGAAGGAAGGATGAATACTAAAGTGCTAAAGGTATGGGTTTTCTTCTGCTTTTTATGTTCCAATTTTTTTACATTTAACTTTTTTTTAGTCAGAACATTAAAAAACTTTTAAAATATATATTATATGGAAGACATATTCTTCCATATATTCCCATAATGAGTACTGGTACAGGACATACAGTATCTAAAGAGATGGAGCAGTGATTAAATTATCCCAAAGTAACTTAAGAGGAAACAAGAATTTTTTTTAATCTGTCACTACAAAAAATGTAAAAAACCCTAGAACAAGACTAACCTGAAGCCTTCCATCCAATGTTCTCTGTATGGTAACACATTTGCTAGGATGAGCTCCATTTGTAGTTATAGCTGTTATTAAAGAATCCAATTCATCCTTTTTCTCCTTCAGTTTCTTCACCAAACTTTCAATTGCTCTTTTTGCAAATGTTTCACTCTCTCCACCTTGTCTATGGCACATCAAACTATGTACAATGCTCAGACAGGCATCATTACTTGTTGGTGTATTTGTAATAGACATATTGTCCATTTGTTAACGTTATTTCGTTTAAATCAAATGTTTCCAATTTCCAGAGCAATTTCAATCTTTTGGAGGCAGTGAAAAACACTGGCTAACGTTGCAAGGGAAAGTATTAGACATGTGGTATTCAGGATAACCTAAAAAAAAAGAGACAAAGATATTAGAATACATTTTACAAAGTAAATTCAATTACTTGAGAAAAGATAGAATTGCTCCATTTAAGTCAAAGACTCAATGCACATATGAAAATTTGGTGCAAAGATTTTTTTAATGACTTAATTAAAATGCTGTTTTTGACATTCCAAAATTACTAAAGTTAGGCCTCCTTTGTTATTATAGAGGCATGCTCAATCAAGTCTTTTTGACTATTAATCATCCTGAAGTAAAATCTTAGGATGTTTTAAAATGAATACTTATGAAGGCCAGCAATTTAAAATAGTGTTGATTAATAACTAGTTAAACCTAAAAGTTTATCACTAATATGCATGATTACTGAAAAGCTATATCCACATAATAACCTGTACATGTTTACAGCAGCATCATTCATAATAACCAAAAACATGACCCAAATATCCACCACCTGATAAATGTATAAACGAGTATATCCATACAATGTAATATTATTCAGTCATAAAAAGGAATTAAGTACTGATACATGCTACAACATGGATGAACCTGAAAAACAAGCTAAGTGAAAGCCAGTCACAAAAGGCCATATGAAATATCCAGTCACAAAAGGCCATATGAAATATCCAGTCACAAAAGGCCATATGAAATATCCAAAATAGGCAAATCCATAAAAACAAAAAGTAGATTAGTGGTTGCCAGAGCCTAGGGAGCAGGGGAATAAAGACTGATGGGTATGGAGCTTATTTTGGGGGTAATGAAAATGTTCTAAAATTTAAAGCTGTGATGATTGCAAGACTGTCATTATAGTGAAAACAACTGAATTGTGCACTTTAAAAGGGTCCATTTTGTTGTACGAGAATTATGTTACAACAAAATTATTATTTTTAAAAAGATGACTAAATTCCTCAAAAGATTTTACCGGTTTAAGCAAAATATTTTCAAAACAAATTAAAATATAGAAAAGGAATATTAATGAAGACTCCACTCGACTCGTACAAAACTAAAATAACTTATCTGACCTCAAATTCCCACATGGAATAAGAAAAGGCTACTGGTCTAAGAATAAATGACATAAAGCAGAAGTGGAGGCTGTACTTTTTATGCTGGGTTGTTTTTGTTTGTTGATGTTGTTGCATTCCATGCTTACTTTGCTTTTATTTTCTTTTGCTATTTACTTGAATCTTTAAAAATCTGTCCCCACTACCAAATAAGTAAAACTAACGCATCAGTCTATACCAAAATCTGTTCCTCTTCTGATGACCTTTACTTCTAAAGCATTAATTCCATCCCATTACCCAGGAATGGAAGCTTGGTAAAACATCTCTGACCTATCTCTCTCACTACCCTCACATTCTCTAAGTTAAGATTCTTTACCTTAGTCATTTCTATCAGTCTCCTCCTTTCTGTTCTCCCTGACACTGTCGCTGTTTGGGGCCTCCTCAGAATTTATCAATCACTTGGTATTTAATATGTGCTTCCTCCCTATTGTTATTGCCCATATTCAATAAATACATGCTGAAGATAACTTTCCAGATAACCAAAGATTACCAGCATAAGAGGTTTTGGAGGCAGAGATGTGGATTAGAATCTCAGCTCTCACACTAGTTGGACAAATTAAGTTACTTAAACTCTCTGAACCCAGATTTAAAAGGAGAGTATATAGAGCTCAAATCAGTAAATCGATAGGCAAAAGCAGCTGTTGTTTGAATACTGTTTATTTTGTTTTAAATGATATTTTCCTAAAATTCATTATGTATTTTTCTGTACTTCCTCCTATTAAAATTCGTCAAAAGAAAATTTAGGAGGGCAGAGACTGAAATAAACCACTCATCCAAGGACTCAAAACTCAAAGACACATAGGAGGAACCAGGCAAATTTTATAAATGAATAAAATGTGCCAGATGTACAAAAAAGTACGGAGGAGTACAAGTGCATACTCACTCATCTAAAAGGATAGCCATTACTCACTTCCAATGGAAGTGGCATTTGCAAATGCTGGCTCACTGCTGCCAGGTTGTCAAGGCCCATTTGTATGTGAAATCTCATTTTAAGTAGTGGCAATTTATTTGTGGGGAAAGGGGAGGAAGAAAGAAGGAGAGAGTGAAACCACTGTGTATGCCAAACAAAACACATCTTCAACTTAAATCTGGCCCAAGAGTACTACCAGTTTGAAATCTCTAATGCCAACTCACAACAATTTTAATTTCTAGACTGAGAGCTCTAGAGGACAAGGATTGTACTTACTTTATTCATCACTATATACCAATGCCTAGGACATGTTAAGTGCTCCTTATTATTAAGTAAATGTATTTCTGTATGTGCTTTCAGATTCGTTCTTACGCTATTTCTTTTGCCTAAGACATTCAGTCCCACTTTATCCACTTGGTAAGTCCTAGCCATCCTTCAAGTACTATTTAAATGTCTCAATTCTTCCAAGACTGTTCCATAACACACTATCTCCTTCTCCCCCAATCCTGGAGGAGAATTACTTCCCTGGTCTGTTTACTGTGTGTTCCTGGTTTGTTATTTGATCCCTTCCTCAAATGTAAAATACACCCCAATTACAACTCAACTTATAGTTATTTGATTATGTACTTGTCTCATATTTTGTTGCCACAAATCTAGAAGTTCAAGGAAGCAACACTTTCTCATCTTGAAAATTCCCAGCACCTTGCAGTTCCTGACATATACTAGGCAAGTCTGTGGACTGACTATGCTTTTTATTCTGAGGCATTTCCTTGCAACAAAATTTGAAGAGTGCAAATACCTTGCTGTTGAACTCACTTTTTGATATTACATTCCAAAAGATTTGTACCACTTTATAATGTAACTAAAGTGTTTGAGTACACCTATTTCACTACAATCTCACCATCAGATGTTATCATTTCTAAAATTTAAGCTATCTTTGGGCCTTAGTATCTCAGAAACTATTTTAATTGCACATTTCTTTGAAAACTAATGAAAATATCCTTGCTTTCTTAAACAAATATAGCTTTTTCATATGTGTATGTCTTCGTTGTATTCCTTAACAAGTGCTCAAAACATTATTAAAAAGTTCCTTGTACAAAAAATAATATCAGCGAGGGTATATCAATATTTTCCTATATTAAATAGCTCTGGATTAAAATATTTTTAAGGAGTGGCATGTAATGACAGCAGACAAGGGCACTAGACTGGAATAAATAAAATTACATGTTCTAATTAAAGCTCTAGCAGCCTGACTTGGCAAGTTAAGACCTCTTTCAATGATCTCATCTATAAAATGGGAACAATATCTGCCTTACCAACTTTACACTCGCTATGGTAATCAAATGTAACGATGTACATAAGAGCAATTTGGGAATCATAAATTGATCAATTCAACAAACACTGTATCTACTACGTGCAAATCACTACAGATACAAAAACAAGTAGCACATAATCAGAAAGTGGACCTCAACTCTATCAGACCAACATCCCGTTTTTGTAACAAATAGTTTATAATACGCCCCACTGTAGCTATCCTGAAACAATTCTAACCTACTTATACATAGTTTTAAAAAATGTAACAATGCCCCCTTAATTGTCAAAGAAAAAGATTAATATACATTAAAGTATGCATTTTAATGAAAATGCTCAACAAATTTAAAAAGTATAATAAAAATGGTAGATGCTTGCACTATATATAGAGTCATCATAAATATGATGATTACAAATTCAAACCTTCCAAGACAGGTGTGTTGTTTTGGCAACTCAAATAGCACAATGTCACTGCAGTTGGTGGCACGGATTTTCCAAAATGGTGAACTCCTGATAAAGTTCCAAGCAAAACAACTTTAATTAAGAAACTGAATTAAGAGAAACTTCATTTCTGAAAAATTGAGTACAGATTAAGATGGAGTTGGATTCTAGGCTAATTATATGTTTCCTCCTATATGAATTTCTGGAGCATTTGAAAGTGTTGTAGGGTGCCAGATAATTCTTCAAAGTCCCTCATACTGCAGGATAGCAATCCTGGCTCCCATCCACCAAAGCTCCTCCCACTAATTTCCACAATAGCCCTTAAAGGGCAGTACTTACTCTACTGACAACCACTGATCTAGAAGATCCAAACATATTACCCTAAGTAACAGATGCTAAAAGAAGTAGATGTTAAAGTGATTTGGGACTATAAACGAGAAAGCATGGAAAGTCCACAGGTAAATTAAGTCTTAAAGGATGTTTCAGTTAGGCTAAGTTGACTGTGTTGCAGTGACAAACAACCCCAAAAATATCAGTAGCTTAAAACCTACGTGTAATTTTCTGCATAAACTATATAAACTGGAAGCTTTGCTCAGCATCATCTCTCAGGGATTAGGCTAACAAAGGCTCCTTTCTACATATGTCCTTAAATGGCAGGAGAAGAACTAGGATAACTTAAGCACTGTCTTTTGAAGGTTGACTATCACTTCTGCTCACATTTGGTTGGCCAAAGTCATATGGTCATGTCAGTGGTTCTCAACCAGGCAACTTCATCCCTCAGGGAACATATGGCAATGTCTAAAGACATTTTTGATTTTCACAACTGGAATGGGGAAGTCAGAGGCACAGTGTTACTGGTTATCTAATGGGTAAAGGTCAAGGCTACTGCCAAACACCCTGCAATGCACAGGAAAGCCTTCCACAACAAAAATTTATCCAGCCCAAAACGTCAACAGTGCCAAGGCTGATAAACTTTGAACCATGTCTAATTTCAAAGTGAGAGAGACAGAGAAGTGCAATATTACCATGTGCCAGGAGAGAGCCATCAGATTATTGATAGAATAGTACTAATAACTACCACATGTAAAAATTTGTCAGGCTAAAGTAAAATCATAGGAAAAAGCAGAGGAATAAGAGTACAGATGTTTTGTCTAGAGTAGGTTCATGATGGGAAAAAGGGGGAGAAATAACAGCATTAGAATTGCATTAGAAAGAAAACTATAGTGAGAGGATGAAGGATAGCTTTGGAAAGGGAAACAGAAAACTAGTTAAGAGACAGTGATCCGAAGAGTGATAGGGCGCTAGATT